TTTTTTATCTCTTATCCTCTAGTGTGGTTGTTGTATGTCATAGTTGGATTTAAAGTTATGATATGTAAGAATTTCAATTTGCTGATAACTATGCCATATAGAAATCAATTTAAGGGTATTGTGGAATTTCCAAAAATTCACATGGAGAATTAACCTTCAGCAAAAAAAGGAAAAACTTCATTGATAACAATGTTCTTTAGAAAATGAGATTGTCAAGCTAGTGAAAACACATCAAATACGGTACAAAATGAGCATCATGAATTTTATTTTGTAAGAGTTCGTCGAGCCACGACTTTCGTGAATACTTAAAGAAAAAATATTATGTGATTTTTATGAAAATGAGTTTTTATAATATCACAATCTACTCTTAATTTCTGGATCCGTCACTGCGTGCGAACGTAGCGCACACGCAGTGAAATTTTATAATTTTCTTACCAACAATGAAGATCCATCTGTAGCTATTCGATATGACTCTAAGTCGCGTGAATGGTAAACAAAAACTTATAAGTTGTTCGGAAACTTTGCCGTCGACTATGGTATCCACAATCCAGCTTCCCGATGCATAATCCAAAATGTATCCCTTCCGATGAAGAAGTTAAGAATCCTGAACCAGAAAGGTCGAGAGCGTTTTGTGATATTAAGATAAGTATCTCTCTTCATCAATTAAAGACGGTGAAGAGATAATGAGATATTTATAATTAACTCAAACCTAATTATATGAGCCATAGGAGATTCTATGGTCCTATAGGTAGTTGGACCTAATCCAATAGCAATTTAATCAAATGTAAATTTAATATAACTTAATCAATTATTTTTTATAAAATAGAAAATGATCTCATTACTCAAAAATAAATATTATAATCTAATTGAATATTTTTAACACTCTCGTGCCACTCTTAGTTGGAAAACTGATTGCATGTTGTGTGATCCTTATAAGCCTTCATATATTGATATAAATCTGATTTATGATCATTATTAAACTCCTAACTGCGTCGAATGACGAGCTCAAAATATGAAGTACGTTTACATGGACAAAGCAAACAACCCTTTAGTGTAGAACTCAATGTTGATATGGTCCCTTCATTCACGAACCACTCGATTAAGCCTAACACTCGAATGTGTGTCAATCCAAATAGTTTAATCATTTCATCTCATATTACTGGTTGACTTTAATTAATTATATTTAAACACCATTTCAAATATAATCATGTGCAATGACCAATAACGTTATCAACCCAGTATAGAGAAAACGAGTGTTCTCTCAAAAATACATTCGAGGAATAAGTCATTATCTTGGCTCAACTTCCAATTTCATTTGTTTCATGATTGACCCAACACAATCGTAAGCGTTGAACTAGGTCTAAGTAAATTACTTTATACATGAATTGTGTATTGAGGCAATTTGAGTTATACTTTATTAACTAACAACTCACTCTGTTAATGACAATATTAACTCAAGGAAATAAATAATTAGTAAATTACAAGCAATTAAACAATTAATTAATTATTAGTTAATATTTATAAATTATTTTATTAATATTTATGTAACCTAGCTAAATGATATTGCATTACAACTTTTATTAAAGTATGATAAATCAAATTTTCTTAGAACTGGACCATCATCGTACCAATCAAGTTATTATTCAATACATTATTAGTTGGACGAGGACTTATTTTATTAATATATATTTTATTTAAATATGTATTAATATTCATACTAAAAATAATTTTAAATGTTACAAAATTTTAAAGTTAAGAACACTAATCACAGCAAATGGTGTTTGCATTAGTAGCTTTATCAATTATGAACATTTATATAACATTTTATTCATATATGTGAACAAAACGATATTGTATTACAACTTTTATTACTATATGGTATATCCAAGATTCTCAAAATCAAACCGTCATCGAACCGGTGAAGGTATTATTCAATAATTTATTGGTTGGACCATTGTTTTAATTTATTAATATTTCAATATTATAGTATGATTTGTAACAAATTTGAATAAAAATTAGTCATTAAATATTTGAACAATTAATATTTTTAAAGTTTAAACCCAATTGATAACTAATTTATAAATCCTCATTTTATTTAAATATATTTTATTTATATTAAAAATAATTTTAAATTTAAGAAATTTTTATTAGAAAACTGTATCAATCTTACCAATGAGACCAACTCGTGTTGACGGGGTCGCTAGCAAACGTTTTATCCAAGCGTACTAAAATGGCCGTTAAACTAGTTTCAGGTCTGTCCGGTTGAATTGTTTGGCACGATCTAATTTAAGAAAAATAATATATTATTATTAAAAATTTTCAAATATTTATTTTCTAATTCAATATTAACATTACTTTATCGTACATTGCACGAGCCACATATTAATTAACAATAAAAGGTTAATCTGCAATGACATTTACAAACTTCGAAATTGCTCAACATTAGTATTATGACACGTTAATATGTGAATATATTAATTTTGTTGAGCGTGGGTTTATATGGAAATTAATCCTTTACTGCATCTAGAACATATTAAAATAATGTTCGGTAAAGCTGGTTGATAACTGATAAGTTTACTTATAGATTATATGTAATTTTTGAGCTTATAGCTTATAACTTACACTTATAGATGAAAAACTAGTTTATATGATAAAATATTTGGTAAAATTAGTTGATAAACTAACTGAAATACAATTTCAACGAGTTTATTTGAAAAGTCACCCCAAAAGTTTATGAGATAAACTCGAGTTTTTTATAAAGTTCGTCCTACTAAATAAAACTTATTTGAAGAGAAAAAATTTATATGTTGGCTTATTTGGTTCCCAAACATAGCTACTCAATACTCATTTTTGCGAAAAACGAGGCTCTTATTAATACTGCATGGACTCTTTCTCTTCTACATTTAATAGAAAAGCTCAGTAATGAAAGGTCCCTATGGATTAGTCGGTTCCTCTGTGAATTCGGAAATTGGAAGGTCTCTGTACCAAAAAAAAAAAAAAAAGCTCAATAATGAAAGAGTGAATTTTATTTTTCTTTCATAGAAGAGCATATTTATTCCTTTCTACATTAATAGAAAGGTTCAATAATGAAGTGAAAAGAAAAAAAATGGAAAAACACCTGTCACATGTATAAGTGCTATCTAATCCAAACCACTTAAATTAGACAAACAAAATAAATTGCTCAAAAGAAGCAGATTTAAAAGCCTCCAACTGTCCAATAACAAACCAATATACAAAAAGATCGGTTTTTTTTGTCAAGATTCAGCGCTCCGACACCGCAACCTCAACAATTGCAGCAATTTTTCAATTGTTTGAGGTTTGTCCGAAGATCCCTTTGTTCCTCGTTTTCGCCCCAATCGTCTGTTTTGTTGAATCAATTGTTCGTTTGGGGTTCTATTTGTGGTTTCTTGTTTTCTGAATTGAACTTGTGAATTGGCTTGGGAATTTTTCTTGATTTCTTGTGGTTTTGTTTGTCGATAGATTATTTTTATGTAGTTTTCTTTCTTGTTTGCTCTTGCCCATGTTTTGCAAAGTTAAAAATTTCATTGTTGTCATTATTGATTTCCCTAACTCCGCCTATGTTGTCTCGACATAGCAGGTTCCAAGCCCTGGTAAAGGAGGAGGGTTGTGATAGGTTTGGCGAGCCAACATAAAACCTAGTCGTTCTATGGAGATGAAACATTATTGATTTCCCTCTGTATGTGGCATTTTCTGCAAGAAATGATGAATTGTGTCGATTTTTTAGATGGGTTTTGCAAAGTTTGGATCTTTTGCAGAGTTACACTGTTTTAAATTCTTTATACAAAATTATTCTTCAAGGTTGTTATTAAAATGAAAAGAGTGACAATATTATTGCAGCAATTTCGATTGTTTAACCCTCGTCCACAGGTTCCTTTGTTTCTCGTTATCGTCCCAATCTGTCTGTTTTGGTTGAATTGATTACAGGCTTTTTATGTTTGTGTGTGTGTGTGTGTGTGTGTGTGTGTGTGTTTGCTCTGAGTTGAACTTGTGATTTGGCTTTGGTATTCTTCTTGATTTGTGGTGGATTTTTGTTTGTTGATGAGCTTTTTCTATCTTGATTTGTGGTGGATTTTCTTGTTTGGTGTGTTTGTTGTGGCAATTGTTTTAAAATGCTGCATCTTTTGCTTGAGAACCCAAAAGAATTACGATAAAAAAAAAAAAAAGAGGTCGAAATAGTGTTTTCGGCATATCAAGAGCATATGCATTTCCCTTGTGATAATCCAGAATTGAAAAGGCATATATTGCAGGTGCTTTTGTGCATTGCTCTTCAGGATTATATTACGAAAAGAAAAAGTATCATTGAATGTTCCCGTTATCCTTAAGAAAATTACATAATCGACCGTGCAATACTTCCACTCTAGCTCTTTCATTGAACATTATATATTTTTCTAAATCAACCTTTTTTTTTTCCTGTTGCATAAAACTGGGATTTTTGCAGGGAAAACATGAGTCTAGCATGTCTGGTTTGCCACAGCATAGAAAGCCCGTCACATTCGTTCAGAAGTTACTCTGTTTCGAGTTCAGACAATGAAGGAAGATGCTCTGTGGTTGCCAGTTGCTTGACCAGAAAATTTTCTCTTCCGAATCCTAGTATCACATCGTCTAAGGTCATGCCCCAGCCGATTATTTCGAGCGGTGGAGGGGTCACGGGGGCTCCACGCCTCGTTCGAAGCCGAGCTGTAAGAAGAGACCTCGTGAGAGACTGGGATTTTGGTGGAGAAATGGAGGACTAGTTTGGGATATTGCTATACGGGCACAACTTGAAAGGAAGATGGATTATCGATTCACTTATCCCTAGTTTTTACTTTTAATGCGTCGTTTAGATTTTGTGTTTTAAATTCTTCTTTTTATTTTCAGTTTGGTCCTGAAAAAGGTTTGATTGTTTGTAGTTCTTTTCATAATGCAGACATGGAGAATGTATTAATGTGAGAACACCTGTATTTGTATATAGCATCTTAAAAATTTCTTGAATTACGATTTTCTCGACTGAATTTGAAAATTTAGCTCGTCTAGTGACCGTCGAACTTTTATACTCCCTGAGAAACTAGAAAGTACCATTTTATGTTTGGTTATTCACAGAAAAGATAAAACCCAGAAAATAAAAATATAAACCATCAATGAGTTCCATGGGAAGTTTTTGCAACTCACATTGAGAAAATTACTGTCATTATACACAGCCCGCTGCAGATTGCGCTTCAATTTCGTACTAATGTAAAGCGGCGAAACATTCATATTGTTCACAAAGTTCTATACGAAACGAATCACACTCTTTAAGTTTTTGGCATAAAGCAATCTCTTTTGACAAAATAGGAGAACCGATACAATGAGAAACTCTGTCTGACAACGAGAAACTCTGTCTAGACGTGTCTCGACGGTGGATTATCCACCGAACGAAAGATCCAGTGAGCCACTATTGATTTTTTATCGTTGGAATTTCCGTTGGAGCTAGTATCTATTTACACTCATATTTCGACCGTCGGAATCGCCAAATCCAATGGAAATTTCAATGGAAAACTCTTTCAAACGGAATATTTATGTTGGAATTCACTGGAAAAGTTTCAATGAAAGTATTAGCATTGAAATATCCATCAGAATTGTCGTTGGAATATATTTCCAAAGAGATTTCTTCATTTTCTTGTAGTATGCGTTTAGTTCTATATTTAGCGTGTTCGGCTCTGGTGGAGTCGTTCTTCAACTTTTACTTTTATCATATTTTAAATGCAGAGGTGTTTAAAAATAATTTCGTATATGTACGTCTTTCTCTAAAAACTTCCCCAAAAAATCCCCAATCTTCCAAAAGTAAAAACACTCCTTTTCTCGCCATGCGCCACTCTCAGTCGGGTCGGCTCAGCGCCGGCGTCAGCGTCATCCGACCGCGCAACTCCTCCATCCAGGCATCGCGGCCCCCTCCTCAGCGTAGGTTCGCCTCTCTCGTAGGTCGCCTCCGACTTGGTGAGGGTTTCGTTGGTACCGAGTTGCAATGAGATGCGGGTCTTCGACTTCGGTCAGGGCTGAGGTATGGCTCCCCCCTCTCCCTTTTTCCTTGTCTCACTGACTTCTTGGAGGTCGGTGATGGTGGGCCAGTGCGACTGGTGGATGGACGGCAGTCGTCTACTAGGCAGACAAAGGCGCCTACCGTCCGGCTGGTTTGCAAGCTTTATTGGTTGATTGGGGGTGTCATCCATCCAGGAGAAGATTTTGGTCATCTAGTGTCGTCTCGCCTAGTTGTTGTTACACTGGAGTTTCTGGTTCGGTATTCATGCCAGAATCCTATCCAGTGGCGAAACCAGGATCCCGTTTCGGGGAGGGCCCAATTTGCCTTTAAAAAAAATTCACGACGCCAACGGCCCAAATCGCCCAAGCCCTAGTTGGATACTTGGATTCTATACGCCAACGGCCCAAATCGCCCAAGCCCAATAATCATTTTATTATTGACTTTGTCTTCTTCGTCACTTTGTCTCTCTTCTTCTCTGATTTAGCTTCCCTTTCATGGCTCCATGCCTCCCTGCTCAATTGCTCTGTGTTTTCGGATTCCAGATTTCTTGTGGCGCCCCTCCGGCCATCCCGCGGAGCACCACCCCCACTCCGGCATCGGAAGGGCGCTCAAAGGGCGCCCTTCCAGTTCCAGCAAAACCCCAACCCTAGTTCGAATTATTATTTTTTGTTTTTTTGTAAGGGTCGGCGCCTCTCCAAACGTGTATGTGGTTTCGCCCCTAATCCTATCTAGATGGGCAGTTGTCTCCGAGAATTGGGTCGCGGTTTGTTTGGTGGTTGAGAGGAGGGTGGTATTCTATTGTCTAGTGTTCTATGTTGTGATTGTATGTTTGTAGTGTTGTTAATGGCGTTTTTTATGCTTAGTAGTTGTTTGTCTTCTCTTGTTGAAGTTGTATCCTCCCTTCATGGGAGTTTCTTATATTGTCTATTTCGTAGGTGTGTTAGAGTAGTTCTCTAGGCTTTACGTTGGTGTCGAGGATCTTCCCTATGTGTGTTAGAGTAGTTCTTTAGGCCTTTCCTAAGAAATATAATACCGATGTTACTATTCAAACTTTTTTTATTTTGCCGCCAATCACTAATTTTGAATTGGAAAACTTCCTTATACCATCATTTTAGGTAGAAATGATTCATTACATAATTTGGACATATATTCTAGGATTTGGAGAATAGAATAATTCACATTTTCAGACAACAACCTTATTTAAGTTGTGAGCGAAAACAAATAAACATACATAAATTATTTTTGTTTATTTTATTCTATTTTAATTTATTTATTTATTTTGTGTAATTCTAACAAGACAATTGATTATATAAAATCAATCATGGTTACCTACCTTTCTAATAACAAATATTATCGAATATTCATATATTTCTTATAATCAACCATTACCAACTAATCTTTTATTCTTTATAGTAAATCATATTTATTTATTTATTTACATTTATTTATAAGTTCAAAATACTTTACTACAGATATTAATTTTTGTGTTCTTTCTTTATTTTTTTTCTTTATTTTGGGGGTTAGGTGAGAAATTGAAATCTTTGACTTGAAGTAAAACGTGTTCAATGATGCACAACATTGAGGCCCAATATAATGCCCATCCTTAGGCCCACTTGTATAGGGCTAGTACTTCTCATATCTCATTTAGTACCCGAGTAAAAATGATTGGACTTGGTTAAAGAAATTGAGAAAGTTACTAAATTAATTGATCTATAAATTTAAGTTAATTTTTATATTTATGTAAAAAATAAGTTTCTAAAATAAATAAATAAATAAATTGGTCCATATTTTACTAAAAGTATATAGAATAATTATGTTATTTTCTAAAATATAACAATCTTTTTGGATGAGAAAGTTGATTATGTCCTAAGAAATAAAACAAAACAAAAAAAAAAATCAACAAAATAATCCAAAAAATGCAAAAAAATAAAATAAAAAAATACTTTGATTTAGATTGTAGTGGCATGACTTATGAATGATGATTACAATAATTAGGTTTATAAATAAAGATAAAAGAAAAAAACAAACATCACTTATATGTTGATTTGACCTTATTTTGATTTTTTTTTTTTATCATATCTCCTTCTAAATTTAATGACTTAATAAAATAGAGTTTTAGGCAGACATATAATCTGAACCCTCAACTAATTTTTTTTTTTCTAATAAAATTATCTTATGAAAGATTATATATATATATATATATATCATAAAGTAAATTGTGTTCATAAAATTTTAATAACAGTATGTCTAGTGGTGGACTGGACATGTGACATTGAACAAAGAAATGTAGTTGAGATTGGCCATAAAGTTTTACCCAATCAAGGTCAACAAATATTCCAAAATCCACAATGGGTTATTATTATTTATGGATTTTTTTTTTAACCTTTCAAAGTATATCCGTTTTTATAACTTTGCTTTACAATTTTTCTTTTCTCTTAATAAATTATATCTTTCAAAATACACGAATCGACAATTTGCCTAATCCATCAGAAATCATAACACGGAGACACAACTTTTGTACCTCGATAATGTTGAATTGATCTTTAAAATTAATTTAGAATTTGACACTCATGTCGAGAAGAAACAAAATGAGGTATGATTTATTGATTTCTGAAACTTGATATATCAGTATTCGATCAACAAAGACGGTAGGCGGAGGTGTGTCTAGAAAAAACTTGAGTTGAACTTTTTGATAATCAAGGTCTTCGATTTTCAATTGAAAAGTGTCATTTGAAGACTTGTAGGAAGAGTTTTCTAATGATGTAAATCTCATGAAAAACCGACAATGGAACTTTGGTTAGTAGCCTAAAAAAACTTCGGTTTGTATCAATTTCTTGAGCCCAACTTAGGGGTCAAGAAACTCGGTTTGAAGAAGGCTCGAGTATAATCTCAAGTATCCGGAGTTTGAGCTCGTCTCGGTTCATTTACAACTCTAAGCGTTAGAAACCGTTTAAGATAAAGATGCGGTATCATTTAAAGGTTCTTGGAATTTAATTATGTCTTTTTTAAAATATAAAACATATAGGAATTAAAATTGACATGATTAAAATGACAAAATATTAAACTGCCAATTTTATTTTATTTTTTCAATTATATAATTCAAATACAAATAACATAATAGAATTCTAATGTGATAAGTATTTTTACAAGATACAATTAACTTATATGTATATATATATATATATATATATATATATATATATATATATAT